GAATCAAATTGCCCGTTAGAAAATAAGATGATAACTACATTGATCTGGAGACATGTCAGATTACTGTAGTTTGTTCAGTCAAACATTTTATGGCTTACTATTTAGCTATCTTACCATGACAAATGTAACAATTCGCAACCAAAAAAACTTGTCAAATTAACCAAATCATTACTGTACCATGAATGCTTCTATCTACAAAACTTCACAGAAAAAAATAACTCTTGCACGTCTTGCGTGCCTATGTTTTTTCACTTAGTTGCAATCTACAGAAAAAAAAATGACATGCAAAGCATGCAGAAGCGATGATGTTTGACAGTGTCTTACATGACTTAGTTATCCTGGACATGGCAAAACAAACTAACGAATATATAGTGTATGGTAAATAAAAGTAGCTATAAAAATTGGTGTAGCATGTGTGTGGAGTGAGAAGAATAATATTGATGGCAGTGAAACTGGGTGAAGAACTGGGTGTGGGAACAGGGGTGTGGCAAGAGTAAGAATAAAACCTCACCCTGTTTTTTTGTTGTTTTTTTTTCATTATTTGGAAGTCATGTGACCAGAACAAAAAAACACTCATCTAAAGCTGAAATATCACAGATTACAATTCTTGGTAAATTTCAATAATTAAAATGTCCCAATGCAAGATAAAGTGGGAAGGTGATCAAACGTGTCTCAGAGTAAGAGTTGTATGATTAGTCATTTCCATTTTGAGACATCTTTTAAATAATTATTTTTATTCTTAAAACAGTTTGTAGGGAATATCTCAGTTGAGTTCCTTAGATGACAAGGTTGATACCAAAATGTACAATCTTGTCACTTTATTTCTCCAGCTTTAAATAATTTCAAATTGGATGTGATTTATTACAATTTCAAGCAGCTTAAATTGCAATAATACAGTACAATATGCTAAACCGCCAAGAGAGGCTCCCTCATACATTGTATGTAGGCTTGATTACATTAGCAGACAACAGACTACAGACATTTCAGCCTAAAAACAGACTGTAGTGCTCTGGTTAGCCTGAATATCACTCAGGTTTGCCTGTAGTACTCAGGTCACAGTGTAATCTGTTTACGGTTAAAGTTGCTCTCGGTAATGGAAATTGGAATGCTAAAAAGTTTGCAGTCTGCTGTCTGCAAATGTAATACACTGTCTTGTGCATAAGTAATGAAAGTAGGATTGGTTCTATTTTTTAGAAGGATAAAAGAATTACAGGATTCTGATGGAATTGTAACATTCAATAACAAGGTGAAGTTTCGTACTGTGATACATATAGCATATTAATTATGAATGAATGTTGCCAAGGGAATTTTTATAACAATTTGTATAGAAGTTTGGCTTGAAAATAACTCTGTAGTAATAGAGAGGTGAGAAGAAACTCAAACATGATGTATACCTTGTTCTAAAAGTGAGGTTTGACAACTGTTGTTGACATATTCACCACACCAAGGGTGTGAATTGTCAAATTAAACTGTATTACTTGCCAGTAACTCATGCCCTGAACGTAGACATAATTTATCTAAATCCCCATAATGAGATGTATTGTACCAATCATACGGATTGCAATGCTATGGACAGTATTTTGACAATTCATTCCCGTTTGTGTGTCTTGGACAACCCTAGATTTGTTAAACCTCCAGGGTTGTTTCCAAGACTCTTTTAGACATCACAATCTAACCAAAATAAGGCAAGTTGCTATGTACTTGCAAGTACAGCTATATCAGTTTTGTTGCTCTAAAAGCTATTAATATCACTACTAACTATTCCAATGTTTGGTTTTTATGGGGAAATCTCAGCCTGTGAGCTTGCCGCATTGACTGAGGGATAGCTGGGTCAATATGGTAAGGCCGAGGTTTGAGTTTTTTTTCATAACGACAGAGCATTGGGGGTAAATACACCTACAGGCATAAAAATTTCCATTCCCATGGCAACCCACTCTTTTCCAGTTCCCCCAACCTGATTTCAATATTTTAGTGATTTTCAGCTTGAAAAACATTAAACAAGGCCATGAACTCGACCTGACATATTTACAGCTGTATATGCTTGCTGGATCATGCCGATGAGGCACCATTGGCAAATAGGGACCTTATGCATATACCATGGGGACGGCGAGGATGACGCGTAGTAAAAAATGTGTTACTATATTTTTACTTTGGAATTTCGCATTTATTTGGAACAATCCAGTGTATCTGTCCGTATTAAAACATGCCCCTGCTGAATATGCTACTGTTACGTGACTAATGTATGCGAGTTACCGGTCACGTGTCATGTTTAATGTATGATGTTGGATCATGTGGATTTACTGTGTAACAGTCGAAGATCTATTGCTTGAATAAAGGTTGTAGAACTAAACATGGTGGCAGCGGTGCAAATATTGGAAAAAACCATTTGATATCGAACCGTAACAACGTTTGGAAGTGTATAGGATGCCTGGAGATCCTCCACCATCGACAGTAGGCGAACAGCAAGCCTTGGGCGCACAGTCACCGCCTATCTTACAAGGAATACAGCCGCCCACAGGCCTGGATCTGTCGGGACAAAACAAGGCTGTGAATTGGAAGGTGTACAAGCAGCAATGGGAAAACTACACCATTGTAGCACAGCTGGACAAGCAAACAGAAGAGTACAGAGTGGCACTATTTCTCTACTCGATAGGATCCGAGGCGGTCAAGACATACAATAGCTTCGATTTGAATGAAGAGAACCGGCGTAAGCTATCAGAGATAATCAAGGAATTTGACAATTATGTGATTGGAGAAACCAATGAGACTTATGAATGCTACATGTTCAACAGTCGCAACCAGAAAGAAGGTGAATCCATTGATACGTATGTAGGAGAACTGAGAACACTTGCACAATCGTGCAATTTCTGTACTTGTTTACACGATTCGCTAATACGAGATTGAATTGTCCTTGGCATACGTGGTGCTGATACATGCAAGTGCCTATTGCGTCAGACCAAATGGACATTATAAAAATGCATCGAAATTGTAAAGAGTGATGAAGTTTCAAGCATCCAGCTGAGGAACATGGACCAGACCACGAAGCTAGATGAGGTCCATGAAGTTGAATCGAGAAAACCAAAGAAACCAGAGCACAAATATCCGAAGCAAACAGGCCGGTTTCTGAAACATGCCAACCGGAAGCCAGATAAGGAAGAGATGTCGGCAAGAGATAAGCCGTGCGAGTTCTGTGGAAGAAAACATCGCAAAGGCAGAGACAACTGTTCTGCTTGGGGCCGTGTGTGGAGCGTGTGGCAGAAAAAACCACTTTGCAGCACAGTGTAAAGCAAAAGAAAAGGTACACAATGTCGAAGTCGAAGACGAAACAAGCGAAGAAGAGTTCCTTTATTGTGTGACTACAAAACCAGAATTGACAGGAACTGTCAACAGCGTCTACGCACAGATGCTTATCAACGAGAAGCCTGTAAAGTTCCATATTGATTGTGGTGCAACAGTAAACGTATTACCAAACAAATATGTCAACAAGCAAGATATCCAGCTGATGAAATGTGTCTTGCAGGTGTGGAACAAGACTGAACTCAAACTAGAAGGGACCTGTCGCGTGACCTTACGCAATCCCAGAAACCACAAGAAATACTCAGTCGAGTTCATTGTTGTGAAGGAGAATTTGACTCCATTGTTGGGCTCAAAGGTGATCCAGCAGATGGGACTTCTAAAAGTGCACGAGGAGAACTTTGAAAAAGTAGCTGCAACAAAATTAGCAATTAAGAAGGCACCAACAGCACAAGAAATCATCACGGAATACAGTGAAGTGTTTGAAGGGGAACTGGGGACGCTCGAAGGACAACACCACCTAGACATTGGTCCTGCAGTGCCGCCTAACATTGCCCCTTTGCGACATGTGCCATTCGCTATTAAACCAAGGCTCAAGGCTGAGCTTGAGAGACTGACAGACATTGGTGTACTGATGCCTGTTGATGAACCCACAGACTGGGTTAGCAACCTTGTTGTGGCTACGAAGGAATCAGGGTATTTGAGACTTTGTCTAGACCGACAACAACTAAGTAAAGCACTAAAGAGAGAGAGATACCCACTCCCTGTGATAGATGATGTACTTCCAGCTCTCTCACAAGCAAAAGTCTTCACCAAAATTGACGCCAGAAATGGCTACTGGCATGTGTAACTAGATGACGAGTCAAGCAAGCTGACAACCTTTGACACACTCTACGGGAGATACAGGTGGAAAAAACTTCCATTTGGAGTCAGCGTAGCTAGTGAGATATTCCAAAAGAGGTTGAACCAGGCACTTGATTGACTTGATGGCCTGCTGAGCGTGCATGATGACATGGTGATCTATGGAGTAGGAAACACAGAAGAAGAGGCAACTGCTGATCACAACACGAAACTACAACAGTTCCTACAGCGGTGCAAAGAGAAAGGGATGAAGCTAAACAAGAAAAAGCTTCAGCTCCTGTGCAAAGAGATCCCCTACATGGGACACCTGTTCACAGCAGATGGGCTGAAATCTGATCCTGAGAAGATTGAGGCCGTGCGCAACATGCCCAAACCTGATAACGTCAAAGCTGTGAGGCGATTTTGCGGGTTTGTGAACTACCTTGCAAAGTTCCTGCCTTGACTGGCCGAGGTGTTAGGGCCCATCCAGCAATCGACACGCAAGAAGATGCTATGGCAGTGGCAACATGAGCATGACGCAGCATTCGAGAAGGTCAAAGAACTTGTGACACAGGCACCCTTGCTGAAATATCACAACCTGGAAGACGAGCTCACTGTCCAATGTGACACAAGTGAAAAAGGACTTGGGGCTGCCCTCATGCAGAATGGGCAACCCATAGCATTTGCAAGCCGCGCCCTGACAGACCCAGAGACTCGATATGCACAGATAGAAAAGGAAATGCTAGCCGTAGTGTTTGCGCTTCAGAAATTCGATCAGTACCTATATGGTCGCCCCATAACTGTCCAGAGTGACCATAAACCACTAGCAGCCATCTCCAAGAAATCACTCCGAAGGGCACCCAAGAGACGCCAAGGGATGCTGTTGAAAGTGCAGAAGTATGACGTGTCCATCGTCTACAAACCAGGGCTTGAGATGTACCTGGCTGACACGCTAAGCAGAGGATTTCTTCCCACAACTCAGAGTGATCAGGGAGAGTTTGAGCGTGTGAGTGCTGTCAAACTGCTGCCAATGACCGATGAGAGACTTGAGGAGCTGAGGAACAGCACCTGTGATGGTGAAGTTTTGCAACAGCTAAAAGAAGTAATCCAGACTGGCTGGCCAGAGGAGAAGCAGCAGCTCCCGGCCGTACTTGCTCCTTACTTTAGCTTTAGGGATGAGATGAGCATCTATGACTGTCTCGTTTTCAAAGGCAAGCGACTCCTTATCCCCAAGCTGATGCGTATGAAGATGAAAGAACGCATTCACAGTTCACCCTTAGGCGTGAACGGCTGCCTGAGAAGAGTGCATATACAGGCCCGGCATGACTGCAGAACTGAAGGAGTACATATCACAATGCCATACATGCAGCAAATATGAGGCAAAACAACCGAGGGAATCCTTGATGAGCCATGAAATCGCAGAGCGCCCGTGGGAGAAGATCAGTGCAGATTTGTACACCATTGATGGCAAAAACTACCTAATTATTGTGGACTATTTCTCAAACTTCTAGGAAATCGACCATCTTCCTGACACAAAGGCGGGCACTGTCATCAAGAAGCTGAAGTGCCATTTCACGAGACAAGGAATTCCAGACATTGTGATAAGTGACAATGGTCCACAGTTTGCCTGTGAGAAATTTACCAACTTTGCAACTGAGCACTGACCGGGGAGTCCTGGGCACCAACAAACGAATGGCAAAGCAGAAGCAGCTGTCAAAGATGCAAAACGCCTCCTGCATAAGGTCAAAGAAGCCAAAGGAGACATCTACCTTGCAGCGCTGGCACTGCATAACATGCCCACGGAATCAATGGGGAGCAGTCCTGCCCAGCGGTTGATAGGTCGATGTTGCAAAACACAACTCCCGACAACCAAAGAGCTACTAATGCCGCAGTCTGTACACACTGAAGCAGTAAAGAAGAAAGTCCAGGCGAGATAAGCGCGACAAGCCAAGTACTACAACAAGGGGACCCGTGACCTCTCCCTCTTAGAAGAAGGAGCTGTGGTGAGAATGAGGCCATTTACACTTGGACAGAAAGCATGGGAAAAGGCAACGGTGACCAAAAGATATGATGAACGATCTTATGAAGTTGAGTCTGAGAAAGGAACCTACCGATGAAACAGGGTGGACCTGAGAGAACAGCCTGTCCCACAGAGGCCTCTAGAACAAACTCCCAGCCAGGAACCAGCATTGACCAAGAACAAGGACCAGACAAAGACCCTAGCTGAGATTATCAACCTACCTGATACACTTGAGACCATCCAGCAACCCCAGGAACAGCAACCCACACCTGCTGCTGTCTCACAACGCCCCAAGAGAACCCTCAAAGAGCCTGCATACCTTAGGACTATTCACGCTAGGAAACTAGGGACTTTGAACACTTGTTTTTCAGTTACTAGAAACCGGACTTGACATTTGAAAAAAGCTACGAGTGATTTTTACCTAGAACGCTGATTATCAAACATTGATCCTATTAGTCTAGGCATGATGATTTTGGTTTGGAATTGTTTTTCTTTATTTTCATCCTAAAGGAAGGGGGATGTTACGTGACTAATGTATGCGAGTTACCAGTCACGTGTCATGTTTAATGTATGATGTTGGATCACGTGGATTTACCGTGTAAGAGTCGAAGATCTATCGCTTGAATAAGGTTGTAGAACTAAACAGCTACAAAAACATTCAGTTCCAAATTGAACTACAAAAAAATTAGCCATTGTGGTTCATGTTCTCCAGGCAACGCAGAATTTGGTCATTTCACGTTGCTGTTTTGTAGAGGACGGTAAAGAGATGTACCGGTACCAAGAATTATAACGCATGTGCACAACCATTGTTTTGCTCATTAAACCTTTTGTTTGATGACGTCCTCGTTGCCGTTGCTGTCATGTTTTGCGTAAGGTCCCTACTATCAATATGGAATGCTCAAAGTGACTAGAAAAGCCTTTAATATCGGGGAGGTCTGGAACCCAGTATGTTGCCGTGGTAACAGAATATTAAACTCATATTGTGGAGCACCTTTAGTCTAATCTTCCTGTTAAGAATCAAACATTTCTGTTACAAATTTTCTGAGATATCTTTCTTCATCACATTTGGTCAAAATTCGGTTGAGTTTATGACATCATCACTTGGCCAATTTGCATATTTTAAAAACTTGAATATCTTGGGAATGAAAAGAGATAGTTGAAAATACTAGCGAGCATTTTTTCTTCTCGTACAGAGTACTTCTCTATGTTTTAAAATGGCTCAGATAGGAAAGATGCGATTTTTGTCATAGTAGCAGTTCAAGCAGTTGTGCAAAAAAAAAACGATCTTTCATATATTCACTTGTATTCTTCACCATCTATGGGTATGTTACAAACTCACAAAGTGACCAACTCTCAGTTGGCTTCATAGCTCAGTTGGTAGAGCACTGCACTGGTATCGCAGAGGTCATGAGTTTGAATCGTGTTCAAGCCTGAATTTTTTTAGGCTTCACAACCGCTTAAGTTGTGTGTATAATTGCAATGATCAATCATGTCTTCATATCTTTTCTGCAGTTCAAATATATGATCTTTCATATATTCACTTGTAAAAATCTTGTCTACCAATTAATTTCGAGAGATGGGTCAACTTGTTTGACATGAGAATAATTTGTAACTTGTCTAGAAGAGATTGGCTGCTAACGAACAATACTTGTGCATCTAACAGATATCTCTGTTATGGTGTGAACCTTAAGGATCACATGTACATTTGGGTCTGAAAATAATTGACATGTTTAACAGGTTTAATTGTTCTTCTTGACTTTTTTCAGTCTGGGACCAAGAAGACAAAGAAGTCAAGGTAAAAGATGAAATATTATTCATTTGAGTAACATACATTGTATGACTTTCTAAAAGTAAAAACAATGATATTTGAACAAATGGGTGACATGTATGGTAAGCTTGTTAGTTTACAATAATAAAGTTATTCATAATATTGTAATGTGATGTACATTGTGCAGGTGTATTGCATGTGTACAAGTAGTACTTGCAGTGGTTTCAATAAAAGCTGGGTAGTAGGTAGAACTACATTGTACCAGCTTGTGATGAGCTAAATAGCTACCTGAAAACTGGTTGATTGGATGAAATAAACCCTATAGTTGACAGTTACTTGAGAAAATACATTGTTCGTGGCAAGTCTTGCACAGCGCTTTTGTTTTGTCCCGGCCAAGGGACTCTTCAGAGACCTTTCTGCTTGGTGAACTCATTGAGCATCACGCCCAAAGTCCCATTCGCTAACAAAATGATGACAGCAATATCGCCTTATGTCACATGCAGAAGGATTCCTGACCACACAGATTCACGAGTGAAAATTGACAATAAAGTTGACAGTTACTTCTGATAATACATTGTTCGTGGCTAGTCTTAAGCAGCGCCTTCATTGCGTCCTGGCCAAGGGACTCTTCAGAGACCTTCTGTTTGGCAAACTCGTTGAGCATCGCGCCCAAAGTCCCATCCACTAGCAAAATGATGACAGTGATCTCGTCTTATATCGCATAAGGATTCTCGACTGCACAGATTCACGAGTGAAGAAAATTCATGAAATTTAAAGAAATCCTGTAATCCACTGCTTTTACTCCAGTCTTTTTGGTGTACAAAGTTGAACTCAAGGCTTTGCATGATGTGAAGAAAACCATATTAAAACATGACTAATGCACCCTAAGAAACTGTGCCAAGTGCATCATGCACCTGCAATAAAATTAATGGAGAGAAACTGGAACCCAATAGGAACAAAAGGAAATCACATTCAGGTTTTGACTTATTAGCATATTTGGTAGTGTGATTTATTTCCAAAATCATGTAAAACTTGTGAAGGCATGTACATAATTATAGGCTCACCAGAAGGAAAGAAATAAAGTTTAATAACCCTTTAATTTTTTTTTTGCTGCTGTGTATTCAGTAAACAACCCTTTTGCAGCAAAACGAGGAAAGAGAAGTACAGAACATTTAATATGGTTTTTAGGAAGAGAAAATTATCTTTTCAATTATGACAAGTTTTTCATTGACAAGTGATCCCCCATGTGTTGATTTTTAAGGGTTGAAGGGTTAATTTCATCTTGTGGCAATGTGCATTGAGAAATGCATATAACTATGTGATGCCTGAAATTCATGCTGCCAAGCATACTGACAAATTTGTTGAAATGAACAAGGTATATGTTCAGGTAGTTGAGTTCTGCAGAGGAGCCCTAAATTTTTGCCCAGAATGCAGAAAAATACATCTCCGAGAATGCAGAATTTCAAAATTTTACTGGGAGGAGAGGAGAGGGGATGCATGGAGGCACTCTGGGCCTTCAAATTTAGTTATCTGGTTTGTAAACCACTTCTACCCACCTGCAAAAAAGTGTATTGAAACCCATGCTCTGTAATGTACATATGTAAATGTAGATGTTCTGAAAGAATGAAACTATGAATAATTTAAAGTTATTTATTTTCATATCTTTTCTTAAAGATTCACAGAGGAGTCTAGTGACAATGAAGATAAAAAGGACATGAACAACATACTGGCTGGAGGATCCAGTGGTGTGCTTTGTTTTTAAACCCATTTGAAAAAGTTGTTCTAATGAACTGTGACATGAAAAAAATTATCAAACTACTGTAGTATGAAAGTCCTTAATTTAGGAAAGGGGAGTGATTATAACTCTTACCATTTTGTAATATCTTGTCTCATTTTAGAGAAATTTAATTGTTTACGAATTTTTTGGGTCAAATCACAAATTGAGGAATATACAGGGGTGGATCTAGGGGGAGAGTGCAGGGGTGCCCCCCCCCCCCCCCCCCCCCCCCCTGGAGATGAAGCCTTCTTCTTAGAATTCGCTTTTAAAATTTGTTTACCTCACCAGTCAGTTATGCCATTCCCTAGTGGTGCACCCCCTCCTAAGAAAAATCCTGGATCCACCCCTGATATATGTGGTTATGTCGGTCAATAATTGATACTTGAAATTCTGAGCATTGGTTTCATGAGCCAGTGCACATCCAAGCTTGAATAATAGCCCATCTGATCATTGGTTGAGAATTTACTAAAAGTTTAACAACTGTTTACAGTAAATTTCATATCTGTTATGCCTCCACAACGCAAAGTTATGTGCCACAGGCGCAATGTTAATAACAACACCTGCCAAGATTCGCCAATGGGATTGCGTTGGTTAGCCAGTACTGTCATAGTTTTTATAAAGTACAGTGTGGTGCAATGCATTTCAGTGCATAAATCATACATGTACAGGTACATAAATATAATTGTGCATTATCATGCCCACTGTTAGCCTCCTACACAGACGCTCTTTGGGCTCATCAAGCAATCTTCCTCCCCCACAAGCTTTCCTTTTGTAAAGATCAGCTGGAGATCACTTGGAAACTAGTTTAGAGCCAATCGGTGCCAGCTCATTGTGTAATAAAAGACTAATAATAAACTGAACAGGCTCCCTTGGGGCGAAAGGTACAACACACACTGTTGCGCTGTTAAGTACGTCAACGTCAACCTTTCAAAGTAATTGATATGCAGTTTTTCTAATCCAGTCTGCATTGGTAAGTTTACGAACACTTCATTTTTTCATGGCAAAATAAACTATAGTTTCTGAAAGGGGATTTAAACAGAATGTCGTAAATGTCTCACACATTTGATGAAAGGACACACTTAAGTATTTTGGCATTTTGCAATCATTTCTCAAGTTCCAAGCAGACTTCCTGCAGGCTTGCAGCATTTGAGCGAGGATATGATAGAAACCAGCCATTTAAAGGAATGTCCATGTATGGACATGTCTATCTTTTTCTTGACATAATACTCTAGAGCTTCTTGCTGATAAGGTATTTAAATCGAGGGAGTTAATGTCCACCTAATCGTTGAAAGGTTACACAAGTATCTGTTGAAGTCTCTTGCAAACTTCTGTGGGTCCAAAGTCTGCAGCCTTGATTGGGACATGTGCAAACAAAGGGAAAGGAATGTGCCCTTGGTTTCAACAGATGTTTGTAGGGGAGGAAGATTGTGTGACCAGCCCAAAGAGCTTCTGCATAGGGGGCTAGCCAACTGTTTATAAGTGTGAAATCAGATACTTTGTAATCTACTTCAGATTAGCTATGGTGTGTACCCCTTGTTTAAACTACACCTGTTCTTATTGATTTCAGATGAAGATGTCAAGCTTAATTTCAAGTCTAAGTAAGAAATTGTAAATTGATGTTTGAAGTGCACATGACATGAAAAATAATTTCTGCTTATTTGAAAGGCCTTTCAAAATACAGAAGAGTGGCGTTTTTCTTTTTGAAATATCTTTTTTCGTTTTAGAGATATTGACGTTTTTCTATTATGCAAATTAGACTGGTGATGAGGTCATATTGTTTGCAACTAAAAAGTGGTAAAATGCTGAATAAACGATATCTCTGGAAATGTTGAAGCAGTGTTCTTGAAACTTTGCACCACAAATGTGCATCACAAAAGTGCTCAGTGCTGTTGCCATGACAACAGTTTTGCCGCTGGTGCTGTCTTAATAAAAAGTGAAATTCCCAGTTTTTGTCTTAACCAAGAACCATCTACCCCACCCAATCTAATGATGGGGGTTAAGACAATATGGGAACAATGTCTGTTCCAAGTAGGACCCTTTGTCTCACTTTAGAGGTTTCAAATGGGGATATTTGGTTTTTTGACAGAAAGAGACTGGAGCCGAAAGAGTTGCTATGGCAACAGCACTAAGGGTGTCATTTTGTTTGTTTTCTATAACTAGCAAACAAGGATACATTGTATAATTTTACAAATTATCATGGCCAGCTGCATTATTATATTGAAAAAAAACTCTATGAGATCTACATACTGATGAAAGTTTGTGTAGATGTAGTTCATAATTTAATAAACAATCTACCTACATGTACACAGCTAGCTTGCAAATCAAATGGTGCCAAAGGTAGAAGGAACACCTTCACATTATTTTAAGCTAAGTGTAGCATGCATAAAACTACAGGCAAATGAAGAATAAACTCGTCAAACTTTTGAATCAGTTGCACAAATTATTGCATTTGTTGGATTTTAAATATTAATGTTCGAAATTCATAATAATGTTCACAATTCTTTTCAGGCCATTCAGTGATGGGAACAAAACGTGGTTAAAACTTGCTCAGAGCGATGGAGAAGACAGTGATGAAGAGGTAGTAATTATGGTTTGGTTGTAACAATAGCAGCAGCAACAACAGCAGTTTTGTTAGTGTCTGGCTCCCCTATATCTTGACAGTGTAACAGAGCATAGGATTGGAGGCAGCCAGTTTTAAAAGCATTACCAACACCTGAGTTTTTAATTTGTTCTTAATTTTCTAACAAAAGAATAGACCAATTTTGATATAATATATAGATTTATCCAAGCCTAAGAGTGGATCTCCTGATTACAATAACTAATCATGACAAAAGAGAATTTGTGTTCTTGGATCAGAAACCCAAAAAATGATCAATTGTGAGCATGTAATTGTTCACCATGTGGTTTCGCTATTTTTTCCCCATTAAATTTTAATGAGCTGACGAGACGATTGTGCAAGGAATATGTTGGAAGAAAAGTCAAATATGCACCAGGGGTCAATTTGCACCAAAATTTTGCCTTTGCTCAGACTCACTCCTTCTCCCCTAAAGTAATAACCTGGCTTGAGGCGGTGTTTCAATAAAAAAAAACAGTCCCTGGTCAGTGGTCAACTTCAAAAATACACGCGACCTTGATGAGCTCGAAACCTGAGCCTGTGACATGGTCATGTGATACTCATCAGCTAATAGTTTGTTTTGACAGCTGTCAATTAACCATAATGTGGATACCCAAAATCAAAGATACACCTATGGTAATAATAATTTATAATAATATAATAATAATAATAATAATAATAATAATAATAATAATAATAATAATAATAATATAAATATAATAATATGGTAATGGTGCCAATCTTATTTTTCAAGCTATTACAATTCAGCCTAAAACGATAGTACTCAGCACGAGGCTCATGGGAATAAACCCCACAAACTCTGTAGTATTCCCAGGGTCTCGTACTGAGGTCTATTGTTTTAGGCTATATATCGAAATTGTTCTATTGTCATGATCAATCTATCAGTGGCATAGCATTATTTTAAGTCTCAAGAAATTGTGTTAAGCAGCATGCCCAACCGTGGTAGAAATTGCAGTATCAGCTGTTCAAATTTGAGATCATGGTCCTGAAAAATCAAGACAGGCAAACTAAACTGGAAACATCACTTCAAAGCTGTAGAAATATTATGGCACCATAGCTGCTTTGATCTATACAACAAAATTAATAGAATCCAATTTAGTGGTCAGTGTGCATTTGTAAATGCACAAATAGCATCAATGTACTATGAAAAAAAAGTGACCCACAAGGCAAATACATGTGTTTCATTATGTCACTGATGTTTTTACCAGAGTGCAATCAGATTAAACCACATGAATGACAAGCAAGGCAGGTTCGATTCTTGTGAGACCAAAAATTTGATAACCCACATGGCATTAAAAACACACATACTTTACCTTTCAATGAATCAATGAATAAATGAATGAATGAATGAACAAAATGATTGAAATTTCACTACTTACAACTACCAGGCATAATGTTTTGAAACCAATAGGTGGAGTAATTTTTGCACATAATTAGTAATACAAATAACAACAATAGATTTTTAGATTTAACACTTTTAAATAAGAGCGATACTACATTTTAAATGCATTTTTAAAAATAATAGGCATTTGCTAAGCACCTGACTGCCAGTCATGAATTACAGCGATATTGTCTGTGCATCTGACTTCTGACTGATCACAGGCAAAGGACCTGCCATAACAGGACATATTTTTGGCCATTTGCCAAAGTTATGATAAATTTTAAGTTGATTTTTTTTCAGCGATGTGATGAATTTGGCAGCGAGGGCTCTGATAATGCAGAAAATATTGACAACAGTGTTGACGACAGTGATGATGATGATGCCAATGATGAGGTACATGTATGGCATGATTTTAGAAGAATTTATATGCTGCTTTCAACTAGTGGTACATAAAAAAACCACTTTGCTAGATAGTGTACCAGTTGGTTGTCTAGTACCCAAATCACTTGATGCTTTATGCCAAGTTATTGTTTAGAGTCATTAAGATTTGGTGCTTTTTTAGACTAGAGGTAAACTGTATAACTTGGCAGTGGAACCCAGTAAATACAGACACCAAAGGGCTCTCAGAATAAACGTCATGGGCATATGTTTTTTCTATTCAAAGACTGAGCATACAATTTAAAAGAAACAGAACAATGTTTGATGCCTTTACTGTCAGTGACTTACAGCTGTATGTTCAAACATGCTTGATTAACTAGTCAACTGTCTTGTCAGTTAAAGTTCTCTTATCAGTTTGAAAACCGGCAATTAATTATTCACTTTAAAGTGTAGAAATGATCTGTGGAAATCTTTGGTGCGCAGATACCCAGTGTCCATAGAGCAAGGTTGACTTTGTATGCATGTATGAATGTCTTATTTGGGTCACGGAACTGTCCATTGTCAGTGTTAACCACTGTCCACATCAAGAGGGCTGATGTGAGAGAAAAATAAACAGTTGGTTATTTATTTCTGGAGTGAAATTTTCACATTTATTAATCGTAAAATCCACGCTTAATAATCCTCAAATGCATGCATTTTAGGATTAATAATCCTAAGTACCACCTTTTACAATTAATAAGTCAAATGTGTTTCATCTTACGAAAATTTCACTCCAGAAAATTAATAAAAAAAAACTCTAGAAATAAATAAACACCTGTTAATGATGTCTCAAGCTTTTTGTCAGAAGAAACAAAACTGTCTTTAAAAAGTTCTTATCTGTATTGAGTGCGTGTCTGCATACTGGGTTCGATTCAACTGTACATGAACTTTACTTTAGCTATAATTATCTGCACTTCAGTTTACTTTATTGTAAATTTTGCACTTTCAGGACAATGTGCATTTAACATCGTAGTTCACTCTGTATGTTATGAGAGCAAACAAAGCTGTACCTACATTTACACTCCCGTAATAAGTGGGTATCTGTATTAAGTGGGTGTGTACTTTATTTTAATCATCTCTACACTTTACTTTATTGTTAATAATGCACTGTCAGGACAATGTTAGCTTTAACATCTCTTTTCACTCTGTACATTATGAGGGCACTGTGAGTGCAGGTTGTATCTTCTTATTCTCCCCAGTCAGCCTGTACACATTCAGTCATACTGACCAGGAAGTGATTAATGTGTCTCTTGTTTTGCTAATTTGCCATTATAGTGGTTGTAATGAAAAGGTGATATAATTATGTGAAGTTACTCAAGCTGTTTGATCATTGCAGATGCTGTCTATTGAGAGAAAATCTGAAAAATTGGACAAGAAAAAGGCCAGAGACAAGTAAGTATAATTTACCACCCACACCACCGGGATATCCTTTCAAACATCCCCAGATAACAACGTAACGCCTTGACATGGAAGAAAGTGTTATGAAACATTACAAAACAACATGATAACGGAGCACCCTAACTAAAGGAACAGAACCACATGCATGCATAGAAATAGAAAACCACAAAACTTTTTTATGGTCAACATGGCTAGCGGCATGAATCATGGGTTTCCACCCTGCGACAATGACGTCGTGCAACATTGGCAGCCATTCTCCAGCTAATAGTTTGGCTGAGGCATGCAGCCTTAATTTACAGCATACATGTAGAGCTTTGATAATGGACATCCATGTTATGGTCAATCGACACCTATCAAAAAGAGGTATCTGGTGACCAGTATCACGTGACCATATCGCAGGCTCAGGCTCAGAGCTCATCAAAGTCATGTGTTTTTTTTGAAGTTGACTGCTGCGATTGCCTAACTGTAAAACCTTGCGCAATTTCAGGAGAATTTTCAAATATCACTCATAGTGTAAAGTTACATTCATGAACATGATAATCTACACAACAAACACACAATCTCATGTTCTAATTTATCATTTTCAGAATGGGCTTATTAGGTTTCTACCAATGGCTGTTATTGCAGTTGAGTCTGTGGTCAAATATTCTTTTGTTAAAAAGGGCATGGAAGCGAGGTGAAAGGGTAAATACAAAGCAGAATTGACCCTATCGCCTCGTCTGTATGTCAAACCGCTGAAAACTGCGATAACAGCTATTTGGTATGAGCCAAACTGAATATTGGTATCACTTTCATCACGGCATGTTAATTTGAAGTTGTAATGTAAGACTGTCAATATAATTATTTTAGGTGTTAAGCATCCAGAATGTGATATTTTTTATGTGAAGTTGAGTAGTAAAAGCCCTTAGCAAAAACGATTTAAGGTGGCTGGTACCAGTTTTCTTGTGCGGGGTGTAGATCACCATCGTGCGTCACACGTGAGTTACACACATGATAGAGGTGCGAGATTTGAAACCCGAAAGACCAAAACAAATGAAGAAGCTAGTCATAAAAGGGGATAAGTGACGATTTTGGTTGCTTATCTTTTTTCTTGCTCCAAATTAGCTGAATTTTTGCATGTGGTCTTCAATGTAATAGAAAAACGTGGTTCTGTATTTTTGTCGCTGGTTTTGCTTTGTTTTCGAGTTAAAACGTAGGCAAAAAACTTGGCTTTTCCTAGCCATGTCTTTAGGAGTTTATTTGTTGAACANGCTTGGTTATTATAACAAAGGATTGGCTCTGTTTATCATAACAAAGGCCCGGTTTCCTTTATTTGCAGCCTTGGTGGGAAAAGGGCATTAGGTATTTTAATCAAAAGTGAACTTTGTCGAAAACACTCCAAATTTCGCATAGAGTTTTGTTTAGGTATGTTTAGCAATGTCCTGTAGTTTTTCCACTAAACTTTGCTTCGTTTTCAGGATATTGCGTATGCAAAAAACCACTCGGTTTTCCTAGCGGTGTCTTTACAAAGCGAAGCAAAAACCAGCGGCAAAAATACAGGAACACGTTTTTCTATTACATTGAAGACCACATGCAAAAATTCAGCTAATTTGGAGCAAGAAAAAAGAAAAGCAACCAAAATCGTCACTTATCCCCTTTTATGACTAGCTTCTTCAAATATGGCAGTGCGTGGCTTTTTCGCGCAAGGTCACTTTTGTACTGTTGGAGACGAAATTCACTTATAAAGGAGGCTTTACCTGCTAGAACAACTTAAGTCACTTCTGTGTATTTAAGAAAAATTTTTTCGGGAATTCAATGTATCCCAAATTTCAAAGGTAACTTGATCGATTGTGACAGCCACTGGGAGCGTATAAAGGACTTGCAAAACATAGCAAGTCTACCCAGAATTTGTGTAAAAATCCTACAGAGTAAGCCCAGGAGGTTGTCTTTAATGACAACTACAACTGTAAATGATGTTTTAGCAGCAAACAAAACAAAATGCCTGTTCGGAGCCTGCTCGCCCGTGTGGGCACACGAAGCAGTCAGCAGTAGTCAAAACAGCTCATGAGCAATTGCTGATCTTATAAAGTCTGGATTTTTGAATGCGTGTTCACATGTGTGGGAATAACGGAACTCATGAAGGTTTTTACATGAAAACAAGCCTGGTGACCCCTTTTTTTAGTGTCTTAATATAACATTATTATTGAGAGGAAGCGTCAGAAAAAAAAATGAAAAAATTCTACAGAAGGAAATTTGCGCTTTCTGCAAATTGTCGTTTTTCCAAGTTTACAAGAAATTGGCTCCGGAAAATTATTTTAGAATTGTTGTGCATTTTCATTTTCAGATGCCAAAAGCTATTGATTAAAAAAATCGGGGTCACCGCGTTAATTTTTTAGTTATTAGTTACATAAGCAAAAAATCAGGTCTGGAAAATCCTTTTGGAATGTTGCCATGGTAACTGTTGACAACAAAATAACAGCTGTTTTAGGTCAAGTATAAATTATATAATCCAAACCTTCAAAAATATTACGGTGGCCTTTGTCTGCCTTTTGTTCTATTCTTACAAAGTTATGAGCCGTCAAAAACCTGAAAACTGGTATGAGCCACGTTAATTGTAGTTGAGATAGCTATGAAAACTACATTTGTAGTTAATAGTTTCAACTCTCTCCATTGTGGAAGCAGCTACATTGTGTGTGTCTATATATACCTGTCAATTTTGTATGGATGGCTATAGTAATTTTCATACATCTCTGTGTCACCATGTTTCTTTGTAATTAAAGTTCATGTCTGTGACATTTTTTTAATTATCAAAGCATTTTCACTAGTTTCAGAGTCGTTTCTGTGAATACCTTTACCAGCTACTCAGAGTAGCTGGCAGTTGTCGCAGTCACATAGTCGCAGTTGTCACATAGCAGTTGTCACTTGTGAAAAGCTATTTGCTGAAGCAACTTTTAGAAATGTGTCACAGTGTTAATAGTTCATTGCACGTGTAGACCAACACAGAAGTTTTCAGACGGAAAATAGTTATTAGGCAGTTTTTTTTTACATTATAATGCAAGAACTCTATAATGACTATGTATTTTCAGTCATGTTTTTTAAACCTGTTTGCTTCTATTGCTCTACGATTTACCTTATGACTCCATATGCACCATAAACTGTACATATGTATGTTTGTCAGGGCTTCATTTGTAATGCAGGTAAAGACGGTTGTGACTTAATCATTAGGCCATACATACAATGTACACCGTAGATGAGAGCTGGTTTAAACAAGAGCATCAGGTTTCTTAGCTGACAATAAAAATGTAGCTGGAGCAACATAATTAAACTGAATAGAATGTAGGTATCCATGATAACCACTCTGAATTTGGCAGAAAAGTTGTGAAGCGTTAAAGTACATGTACAAATATGAGCAGAGCACTTGACATTCCTGTGAAACATGATTGTCATACCCTTGTAGAATTTACTGAAATCTCTTATGCAGTGAATGAGATACAAAAGGGTCACAGTTGGAAGCAGCCTTGTGCAACATTCGTTGAAATCGTGAATACCCTGTCTTACAATGTAAAACATGTTTTGGCATAATTATTCCCACTATCATTTCTTCAGTTACAATTAATTTTTAAAATATGCAAAATCTATGAAAGCTGGATATTATGATAAATCTCCTATGATAAAAGAAGCAGAATAAAGTCAAAATAAGTGAAACATGCACTTTCATTGACAGTATTCATGTTAACTTAGTAATAGATGACAAAATGCTTCTACATTTTGAGCTTGAGCCCTTCGGCAAAATGCTTGTGCTTGAAACATCAGTTGTGGAATGTCTTGGTATAAGACAACAACAACAACAACCATTTATTTGTACTCACAATTTATAAAATAATTACAATAAACATTAAATTAGTATAGAGTACTGCCTGTCCAAAATAACCATAAGGGCTAAAAAGAATGGGCAGACATTAAGTTACATAGATTATCTATACAGTTATCAGTCGGTAACACACTTACACACACAGACCAATAAAGTTTCCTTATTTGTTGCCAAGCATCAGTACTTACATCCTCATCCATACTGGTGTCTACATTCTGAAGTTGAAGTCTGAGACTGAAGACTGTAGACTTAGCTCTGAAGTCCCTCCTCAGCTTTTGCAGCTGAGGGATTTGCTTTTGTTTCACAAGTAACAAACGATGTTGGAAATATTCAACATCTTTCACATGTAAGTGGAATGGTGGCAACTTCCATGTTATTAACAGTCTACTAAGTGATGAAGCCATTAATGACCTTCATCAAGCTTCTTACATAAATGATCTAATCACGAGTATATTTCTTCCACCAGGGCTTTAGCAGAACAAGAACTAAAAATTAACATTGCTGAAACTGAAGTGTTTGTGCTTCCAAGTGGGCAGCAAATTCAGAAAGAAGGTATTATTATCCATATCTACATGTATTAACAGTTAGAAAACAGTAGATACATAAATAAGGCATAATGGGTGATTCCAGAAAATATCCATACCCTACCACGTGTGGCGTGGACATTTTACACCCCCCTTCCCTTGCCTTGGAAATTCCAAAATGCTCTACCCCCCATGCCCTCCAAATTCCAAAATCATTAACCCCTCCTCCCCTCTGGAATTTCTGATTTTTTTTCAGACTTTTTGGAATTCCTGTTTGGCTGCCAAAAATTTCCACCAAACAGGAAACTTGCACTTTTTACCCCCTCCAAGAAAATTCTATTCACAATTTTTGGTCAAGCAACAACAACAACAACAACAATCTTTATTTTGTGCCCAGAAAAATTTTACAATAAAAATAAATACATGCAATGTGAAGCAAACAAGCAACTCAAGTTAATGTTCAGTAAAGTACACTGTAGCTTTCCCTTCTAAGTGTTATCTATCAGTTGCTTACCACCAAATAAAACAGTACTTTTTGTTTTCAGTTCATTAGCTTCGTATTTTCAGGAGAGTACATGTACATCATATTGATACCGGTGGAAGACAAAAGTAAAGTTTACAATGTGCTGGCCCTCACCTGCCATATTAAAAATTGCATTCATTGAGTAACTGCTGACCACCAGTAATGCAGCCTACAAATGTGTCAGGCATTCCATTTGGACACGAGAGACTGGTGCGAGTTTTTCTCACGCAATAAGATCGTCAATTGACAATTTTAGATTGGAAAGAAACAGACTTGTTTTATATTTTATTAATCTATCGGCTAATTCATCAACTTTAAGGCCTCTTCGATGTGGACCTGGCTGCTCAACCCATCTGCTCAATTTTCCATGTGATCGCTAACACCTGCCTGATCGATCTTTATCCTGCTTCCGCGGTCGGTTTGTGCTTGATGATTTACAAACTGGAAAAGTTATCAGATCAGCAATTTCAAGCGAAGATTTTGCTGTCTTCCCCCTCTGGAAATTCAGAGCTGAAACCCCCCATGCGTTTGAAATTCCAAATTGCATTACNCCCCCCCATGCATTTGGAATTCCAAACTGTATTACCCCCCATGCCTTCAGAATGTCATTCCAAGAAACCTCCCCTCTTCCTCAGAATTCCAAGATGCTGCCTTTGGTATGGTATGGATATTTTCTGGAATCAGCCGATCAGTTTTATGAATTACCACAGAGAGACAAATCACCAGCATGTTGCAAAAATTGAAAAAAGAAAAAAAACCTTTATAACTATAGAGCCATGAGAACTTTTTACCAGGTCCTCAAAATTTTAGCAATCATGTCTGGTCATCCACAATTTTCATCTGGTATGTACAGGAGAATGAATTAGTATGTTGCTCTTTTCAAAATCTGCGACTTGGCTAAAGAAGCATAATAAGACAAGTTAACAGTTGTTTAATATACATGCTTTGGTCACATTTTGAGTCATGCTATTTTATAAAAAGATTTCACTGATTTCTTTGACTTGCAGCAGGGTAAATGAAAAATGGTCCAATTTTAAGGAAAGGCAATTATTTGATGTGAATTACAGAAAATTTGTAATAAACAAAAAAATAATACACTTTCAATGCTGGCTTTGGGAATGGGGACGTATGGGCTCAGTGAAATGATGTTTATGGGTTTATCGAAAAAATTGCTATTGATTAATCCAAAGCATGTGGCTTGGACTTGTCATTTCCATTCTTTTGCTCAGTTTATTGTTTTATTCATAACAATTTCTTTTTTCCTAGCAAATGAGCACACAGATTTAACTTTGATTAATCAGAGAATCAGAGACAACATTCAGGCCCTCAACAACTTTAGTACCGCACGTGAAGCTGGCAGGTAACCAGAATATGTGTTTGATGATTAAGGATGTTTGTGCAAAAATCTCCTATTAATTATGTGGATTTTTGTCAAACTTACCTGTGTACTGTGGTCAGATGAGAGTTCCTTGTTTCAGAAATGCAAGAAAAAGTGGGGCCACTATCTTTGTTCCAGATACAAAGCATGTGGAAAATATGCTGATTCTGAAACTGAAGTTGGTGTAAGAACTATGCACTTGATGCATGATGTGGCCTGTAAATTGTGTGCATAGTAAGGATGCACATAGACAATTAGCATGAATGTGGGGGCATAGGATCAACAACTACACAGTGAAGTTGCAATATACCTTATCACTTCAATTTTGCAACTGGTAACATGAGCATACTTTCTCAGTGCTTCCAATTTTTGGCATAATATTAACCCATTGACTCCTGTGCCGGCCGTAACTGGCCGTGACGAGCCTAGGCCTTTCTTCCATTTCTGATGTTGAAATCAGAGTTGAAATCACTCAACTCCTGCAGGAGGAAAAGATCTTTCCAATGATACCCAGTTCAGAGTGATCGGCCCAATGGAGCCTGAGATATGCACAAAAATGCTCAAAAAGTTGAGTGAAAAACTCTGAGCAAAATCCCCTGCCAGTACACGTGGCTACTCCTTGGCCAAAATCGACCGTCTCGATGATGCTTTCTCAGAATGTTTTAACCTGGAGGCAAGCTCAGTAGAAGGTCAATCACTGCTGCAAAAAGAAAAGAAAAGGAGAAAAAAGAAAGGCAAAAAAAAAAAAATTGAAACGCCTAAAATTTTGATTTCTGTGCATGCCCGAGCAAAAATGTCATAAAACGCAATGCTAGTGGAAAGAAAGGCATGCTGTCATGTTGCAAATGCCTTTTTGAGTAGATTGGAGCTAATTTGGCCCCATATCCAGCCTGAAACTTTCCAAAGTGTCCAAAAAATGCATTTTGGCAAAAAGCTCCAGGAGTCAATGGGTTAAGTTTGTTACCTTCCATTTAGAATTGGTCTTTAATCCTTTTCTGAACTTGTTTGATTCTGACAAGAACTATTGTAGTCTTGATGATGACAGCTGAAGTACACTCTTGCATCATTCAACAAGTTGTATCATTTTCAGCGACACTTTTACTTCAGATCTTACACTTTGTGCTTTTGTGTCATAGTGCTTTTGTGCCATAGTGCCATAGTGCCTTAGTGGTTTAGCAGATGGTGGCCCCCTAAACCACCCAATAGTGTACTCTGCACTATATTTTCTGCGTTAACTTAATTTTGCAGTTTGGGATGTTATTGAGGTAGTTCTCTGACAAAATGCTTGAAAAAAAATGGTGCAAATTGAATTCTGTTCCTGAAGAAACAAGCTTCTTAACTGTTTGAGACATTCATTTGTTTATTTACCTACTGTACATGTTCTGTAATCTTGAACTCCTCATGTAATTTATAGCTTTAGTTGACTAGTTTTAAAAACAGATTGTATAACCTCATTTGGAATGCCATTCTATTTGAAAATTTTGTTTGTTTCTTTCAATTGCCTTCCTCTATTTGCACATTGGAGCTAAATCTTTGGAGTACCTTAAACTGCCACTTATAAGCCCTCCAGCTAATAAGCCCCTCTGGCTATAGGCCATTCTACCTGTAAACAAAATATCACTTGGGATTGTAAACCCCCTTGATATAACCCCCCTCTTGTTTAAAATGAAATGAATTCGATTTATTATGATGTTTTAAAGCTTAACATTATTAAAAACCAGTGTATGAAAAACATTTTGATTTGTTGCTTTTTTGTTGGTCAATGTTGCAGATCACGACAGGAGTACCTGGATTTGCTTTTAAATGACCTTTGTAAATATTACAGTTATGGCAAATTCCTTATGGAGAAATTTATGGATCTTTTCCCATTGAATGAGGTATGGTTTAACTGATTCACTAAATATATAGTCTAGGTGGTATGAGAAACCACAATCATGCAAAGAAGTGCAGCAGCAGCAGCAGCGCAGTAGTTTGATTATAAGAATTCAATTCTAGCCTCATATTTGTTCAAATGCCTTGCCATGTGGAACACCCAGTGTCACACACCACTGCAAAATGGGTTATTTATGCTATGGTACATTTGTACTGTATAATGGAACCCTGTTAATATGGACACTGACGGGCTATGAAAATTTGGCTGTATTAACAGGGTAGGGTCATATTTTATGTCTGGTCTATTTTAAGGTGATGTCTTGACGGATATACATTTGTATCATAATCGTCATTTTAAACAACTTAATAGGCACCTGGAATGCAGATACGATTTTAAAAAATTAAAGCTCCAATCAGTGCATATAACATTAACCATGGAACGATGTCATTGACATGACATGTTACAAACACTTTGAAAAAAAAAGAGTATTTCCTAATTGTTTCTCAATATTTGTTAATACGAATTTGGTTCTAGTGGCCGTATTAAAGGGGAAAAATTATAAAGGATTGTACAGGTTGGGATTTCAGAATGCGTCCATTGGCCGCATTAATGGTGTGGCCGCATTAGGGGCCATTCATTTTTTATGAGGGAGGGGGGGCTGGTGGGATTTGGGAAGCATCATATAAAAATTGCATGACCCCCCTCAGCTTACCAATTTTTTTCACATGGCCCCCCTCAAAGTGGTCATTTTTTTCGGATGACCCCCCCCCCCAAAAAAAAAATCAACCCTCTCTCAAGATTTTATCTTTTTAATATTCTCTATTAACCCATCAAACATTTTCGCTCGCGTGGGATTTGTCTAAACAGGTCACGTGACTGAATATTCCCCAACCAAAACTGGGGAATATCCAAGGATATTCCCCAAGTTTCAAAACCACGCGCGTTACGAAAAATATTTGAAGGATAATAAACACAATAGCTTCCATTTGGCATGAAAATATGCTTGCATATTTGTCCTTGGACATTATCTGTTCCTCAAAGCTCATTGTCTGTTCGCTGTTTGTCTGTTCCACTGTGCTATGATTGTAGACCCCAGTAATGATAAGAGGTTATTATTTGTAATCCTAGTGTTTTTTTTTAAGTTGCTTGAATTCCTGGAAGCAAACGAAGTTCAAAGGCCAGTAACTATTAGAACAAATACATTTAAGACAAGAAGAAGAGATCTTGCTCAGGTCAGTCACATTTAGTTCGTTTTACGGCTTTTAGTTATATCCCTAAAAGGTTGAATATACACCTTACTGAAGAAACGTCAACAAAGAGTTATAAACCATACAAGATATGATTCAGTGGTTTTCTGGGAAACTTGAGAACTAATACTAATTTGGAATCTTACACACCGCGTAAAGCAGATTGTGAGGTCATGCTTAAACTCTGAAGACTAACATTTACAGGCTCTATGGCTGCATTACTACCGTGGTTATGATATTGAAGAAAATGCAGGTTTGCTTGCAATGTCTGAGTAAAATGAGAATTATACTAGGGCCGCGAAGCGGCCTGAAGTTATAATTCAAATTATATGAACAGATGAAGTGAGAAATATATGAGACAACAAATGGTAG